CATTCGACGATCGTCCAACTGCTTGTCAATGCCCGCGCTTATCCTTCTCTTCATCATCCGCTATGGCCTAGACCTGTCTTGCCTGTGCCGGGTCATATATGCCTGCCAGTGCCGAGAGCTGTTTACGTCGAGGTGACGGCTGGCTTGGAGGAAGTCGTAGCGGAAAGAAGGAAGAACAGAGCCTAGCTTTATTTCAAATCGATGTCGTACATTGTGAACCCACCAGCAATGATATATTCCAGCCATGTAGCTGGTTGTCGCAACCATTTCGTATGGCATGTCGGCGTCCTCGGTCTTTCAAGGCACTAAGCACGCAAAACTAACTCGAGGTATCACATCTCGTTTACAACTCGAATGTTTTTGCATCCAATAAAGTCTTCGTTCTCATATGAAACCAAAATATGAAATTACTGAAGGCAGGTGTTGGAAGTGAAGTGCCAGGACATGTTTTCTATTCAAATCATGTTTCCTAATTCAAAGCCGGAAAAAACTCAAGGAAACACCTCGTTCGGTGTTGATGGATGTTTGGTGAACCGGTATGCCAATTCTTATCTGGGCCGAAGACAAACATTCATTGATGGCCTCTTGCCTTCTGTACAATGTATCGTACACACTTGGAAGCCATTCTTTAGCGGCGCAGGGCATCTCTGATAGGGGAATCACCACGGCGGAAGGAGGCTAAGTACAAGTCAGCTCAGTCATTGTCGGATCCTGGAGATGGGCAGGCTCGGGGAAAAGCGGATAGTCGGGTCACTGTTGAGGGGCCTACGAAGCTTGACGCTGAAAAAAATTACACCAAGTAGCCCCTGCCCAAGCTCAATGGAGCTTATCTTATAGGGACCCGAAGCTCCAACTTCACCAGAAGTCTCTGCGAAAGCCCGCGAACCGAATGAAATATAGATATGAACGTACCATCAGCCTCTTCCCAGGCACGTCCGGCACCGAAGCCGAGACCAACCCACGCGGGCCAAGCTCTCCGCTTGAAGAGGAGCACCGAGAAGACAACACCGAAAGACAGACCAAGGGAGGACTTGATGATCACAGAGGAGATGGCGCGGTCCCACTAATTATATGGCGTTAAAGGTTAGCCAACGGGTTCTCCCATGTCTGCTCCCAGACAAAGACAATCGCCATATATATCAATGGTATGATTCTATATTGCGACCTCTATCATTTCGGCATCCCAGCTAGCTCATACCTTCTCGTTAAGCAAAGCCTCGCTGACGGGCTTGGTGGCCCGCACGACAGGCCCGGATTCACTGGATTCAGCCATTGCGATAGTCTATCGAGAAGTAAGCATCAACTGAGCCGGAGCTATTTCCGAGGGCAAAACACGTACCAGTTGCAATTATGTGGAATTATAGAGGTGAATGCAGGCGTGTGGAGTGCAAGGAGTTTGGGAGGTTCAACGGACCGAGTCGATTCGGCCAAAGGCGGTCGGGGCAATCCGCGGTTTTTCTTCTTGGTCTCTTTTTTTTTCTTCCTCGACAAATAACCCACCCCTCTCTCGAGTAGTTTGCTTTTTCTTTCGAGATGCCGTTGATTGCGGAGGTAAGTCAATGTTGCCTTTGAATACTGCATGTCTTTTTCCCGGGATCTAATGTGTTGCGCTTCCACAGCGTCCGCGCTCATCGCAAGAGGCGCTCCTCCGCCTTGAGAAGGGCACCGCCAGTCCAACAACCCAGATTCACGAAGCGGCACAGATTATCGGTGTGGATTTGACACTATGTGACAGTCACCCGGAAGTTCACCGAGACGTTCGGATTCAAACAAACGCTACCCCGAAGGAGGAATGGGTTCTGCGATGGCTATTGAAGAGACTGAGAAGTGGGAAGAACTATAGAGTGGACGCGGCTTCGTTCCTCTTATTACGACAGCTCACCGACCTGATTTCGCCGAAGAACCTCGCTGCGATTCTTAAAGATCAGAAGTTCTTATCGATTCTATGTGATACACTTGAAGACTTGGAGGCCGATATCTTTTCCGGTCTGGGGAACGGGCTCGCAACCCTCAGTTCTGACTCCGAGTCCAGTCGCACACTGTCTGGATCCCCGACACACGATGATCGCCGAGGAAACCAAGGGAAAAAACGCAAGAGAATGACAACTGAGAATGATTCAGACGCCATGGACGTGGACGTGGACGAGCAGCGTCAGAACCCCGCAGCATGCTTCCTCGCCTTCATCCGCGCCTTGGATTGTCTACACGGATTTGTGACACTTGCGCACCGCACACTAGGCACTGATGGGGTGGCAAACTCTCATTTGAAGCTTGCTCTGAGGGGCGAGCCCGAGGCCGTCGCCATGCTGCTGGGTCGGGCATTCCGGGTGGCCGCCGTGTCCGCCAAGCAGTTCTCGCAGGAGGGGAAAACAACCGATCTTCAGCACTTGCTGTACGTGTTTCCCTCGGCGGTGGAGCTGTGGGAATTGAGGTCTTACCGCGAAGATGATATGGACAACAAGTCGAGTAATGAATTTTTCGCGAGACATTGCTTCGCCCACGCACTTAGGCTCCAAATTTGCCTGCGGTCTGCCAAACTTGACACCGATGAGCGAGCCAATCTCCTGCATGCCATTGAACGCATTATTGCCCTTCATGTCTTACTTCCCGCTCGTGCAGCATTCTTTGAGCGTGGAGGCTCTGGCATCGATTATTCTCAGGATGAGCCTGACTGGAGCTCGGTCAAACCAGTGACTGATACTTTCAGGCCGATTGTCCGCGAGTTTGCTGTGGCCAAGGAAAATAAATCAACCAATGAAGCTTGTATTCATCCCTGGCGATCAGTAGAACTTCTTCCTGAGCTTTTTGACAACGCCGTGCGTGCTGTTCCCAGAGATGTGTTCCGGAGGCAGACGCATGAAGCTCCCTGGTTGGAGACTCTGTTCGTCGCTGTTGCAGAACTAGCATTCTCCACTGCAAAGGAGGAAGACTTCGCCACATTTTCTTCCAAGTTTATCTCGGTATTGGAGCACCTCCTCCAGGTCGCTCTTGACCGAAAGGTCGGCCTTTCTCTTCACACCATCCTGGCGCATGCCAATTACACTGGTCTTTTCGAACAAGAGCTTGAGAAGGTTCACTGGAATGTGACAGCTCTGTTTATCAGTCTTGGTGTTGATATCTTCCTGCCAAACTCCGGTTTGCGTGATTCACGTAAGCTTCTTGACGCATTGCTCGACAAGGTTCTATCACAGTGGCGTGAAAGTGGTTCTCGGAGACGGAGGGACTACGAGATAATCAAGAGCAAGGTTGTGCTGCCGTTGTTGCGAGGTTTCGCTACCGCAAGAGACCTGCCCAGCTTCATGGAATTGTGGCAGAACCAACTTGTTATTGTGGAGGAGGCTCGCCAAGATAACAGCAACTTGAGTCTGTTCTCGGTGTGGGAGGATGATGAGTTAGCGGACGCTTACTCAGAGCTTATGCGAACTTCCCTCACTGAGACGCATATTGCTGCCCAGATGCGTACCGCTGCTAGCGAGACGCGAGCTGAAAATGGCAAGGTTGCTGAAACCCCTCAGTCTTATGCCAAATTTGTTATTGTCGAGGCAAGCTTCCGTGGCCGAGTGTCCATATTCCCAGAATCGGAAAAGACCTTGACATCTCTCCTGGAAACTATGACCTCTACTCTGTCGTCGAAGCAGCCTCTGCATTGGCGATGGCGTATGTGGCGGTCGGTCCGGAATTTCCTAGAGAACACTCTACAGTCAGCAGATAATACCATGGCAAGTGCAATTATGTCATTGGTAGAAGTCGCCTCCAAGACTATTCACCGTAACCACAAGGACCTAGTCAAAGCTCAACTCGCTCCTCTGGAATCGTGGGAGGCTTACCGGTTTTTGATTGCTGCAACCAAGGCACACCCTAGTGATGAGCAACTAGGTTCATTTGTTAAAGCCACCAAGGAAGTCAGAGACCTCATCACCTCCATCTCAACCAAGGATGCCAAAAAGTCGATGAAAGCACCCTGGAATGGCCGCACAGATACTGTGGATTCCCAAACGACCCTTGGCCTAGCCTACTTCCTGGTCCTTGTTAGAGTTCCGGAAGTGTGGGCTCTTATCTCTTCTGACGATCGATCCCGTCTGTTCCGTCATATCCTGTCCCTGGCAGCTGCTCAATACCATTCGTCGTCGTTGCCGTTGGAGGTTGTTGCAGAAGAAGCGAAGTTCCTCCAGGCGTGGGCGAGCGTTGTCTGTCACGAGTATATGCTTAACGCACCCTTCATTGTCTCTGATCTTTCCCTTCTCCTCAACGATTGCATCGAGCAAGACCCCTCCAATCGCAAATTGCTGGTCGAGAGCTTGCAGAGGGTTCCGGCACCGTTGATTACTCGGGGGCTCAGAACCACCATTTTGAACAAGTTGCAAAATGTTCTACTTGAACAGGACAGTTCTCCCGATGTCACGATCGGAATTATTACGATGATGGCAAAACTCGCTGCCATGCCTAAATGTGATGCCACACTGACCAGTGACTGGGAGCCCATCTGGTCTGCTGCTCGAGCCGTACCATTGGAGGGTACCGACCTCGACCTTCAGATTATGAAAGCATTCCGAAGCCTGCACCGCGCGATATCGGCCAAGCTCTTGGTTTCGTCTGAGGGTGACCGGAACAAGATTTTCAAGAAACTCTTTGCCCGGGCATCGAAGCAGACCGCTAAAATGAAGCAGGTGGATCGTGATTCCATGGCCTGTTACCTTCTGAGGTTGACCTTGTCAGAGCTCTGGGTCCACCGCAAGCAGCTGCAGACAGCCTTCTCGGAAAAGGAACTGGCCGCTTGTCGCCAGAAAGTGTTCGACTTCGTGTTGGCTGACATGAAACATGTCAAAGACCAGTGCCGGAAGCAGAAGATGGAGGAGACAATTACCATTATCAAGACCATCGATGCTCTAGAGGATTTCGAAGATCTAGCCACCAACAACGTCGAAGTGGAGAAGTTCCTGTCCAAGATTGACAATTACATGGAAATGTCCGTCGATTCGGAACCGTCTCGATTAATCCGACGACGTCTTCTTGCCAGCAAGGGACCCGAGGAGAACATCGCTCAGCCGGTCCTGCAATGCGCCGAGACTCTTGCCCTTGAGTCTCTCTATGCCGAGGACCAGCAGCTCTTCATCCAGACCACCACCGAACGCTTCCGCTCCATGACCGTGGAAAAAATCACCCAGACGATCTGCGAAGTCCGCGGGCTTGGTTTGATTGGCGAAAACGCCGGCTACAGACTTCTCGTGCTCTACCTCGCCGTTTCCTCGCTCCCACCCGTCGAAGACAAAGAGAGCGCCACAGCACGCGAGATCTCCCTCCTCTGCACGTCCCTCGCCGAAGCCATCACCCAAAGCACAAGCATCGACCAATTCTGCTTCGCATCTGAATGCCTGGACCTCCTCCTCCGCAGCTACACCCGCAGCCTCACCCAATGCAACATCGACAGCATTCTCAGCGCAATCGCCAGCGCCTCCTCCAAAATCGGCCCCCAGATCTCCCCAGCCTACGCACCAACCATCTACACCCGTCTGTGCCGACTAATGGGCGTCGTACTCAGCCTGCAACGCCTCAAGATCGGTGGCCGCTTCCACCTAGTTGTGAACGCTATGCAGCGCCTACTGGGCTGTCTCTTCGCGCGGTCCCGCAAACGCGGCCGCTCCCGCTTCCAGCCCACTCTCTCGCAGCCTTTCTGGCTCGCCCCGCTCGACACCTCGCACGCTACCTACTACACCCGCCTGCTCACCTCGCTGTGCGACCCTACCGTCTCGGCGGTCCTTCGGCCCCAGCCTGGCGCATCCCGCGAGGCCCTGGTTGACCAGACGAAGAAGGCGAAGCGCGTTGCCGGCCAGTACTTGCAGTATGTTGTTATGGAGTATGCGCAGTGCTCGCTGCGTGGGTCGCTGTCCCCGGATGTCAAGGCTGCTATCTTGCCTGGTCTGTATGCGGCTCTGGATGTCATGTCGCGTGAGTCTATGCGTGCGCTTAACGCTGCGCTAGATGTGTCTGGTCGCGCTGTGTTCAAGTCACTCTATGATGACTATGTCAAGTTCGGAAAGTGGAATAAGGGTTGATTGGGGCTTTGTGGGAAACTGTCCTTTTATCTGTATACTATCTTTTGCTTAAGAATTATGATATCCCCAATGCATTGATGATCATCATATAGATTTCAAAGTAAGAAGATTGTAGTATACAAACAAAATATGTAACGTCCCAGTTTGTTCAGGTAAGTAAAAGTGGCCCCGAGGCACCCGGGTGTATCTGGACATGCATGCCCTGTCTGGTTCTACGTGAATTACCAGCATCGAAAGCGACGATGCACAAACCTCTACAGAAGCCGATAGGAAAATCGATACTCGGGACAGTAAGCATAATTCTCACTCACTCA